TTAGGACAGGGTCTACAAGGTCTCACTGCACAGATTGGACTTGGAGTGATCCTCCTGTTTTCAGCCTCCCAAGTGCTGGGATTATAGGCGTGCACCACCATGCTTGCACACTCAGTCTCAAGCACTGTCTCAGTGCACTTGCCCGCAAGGCACTCCGGGGATTGAACCCCAGCTGCTGCTTTCTACCTAAGCAGGCACTAGAGTCTGCTGAGCTATCAGGCCGACCCTTGGAAATATCTTCTTCAAATAAAGTTTTGTTGCTTGTTATATATAAAAAGTAAGAGGTTGTTAAAAATAAAAGGTAGTTTATAAAAACAAAAGCAGAGGGCTGGGGAGATGGCTCAGTGGAATAAGTGCTTCCCTGGCAAACGCTGGGGCCTGAGTTCAATCCCTGGTTCTGCCACCAAAATAAATAAATAAATAAGCTGCCTAAATAAATAAATAAAAATAAAACAAAAGCAGATACTTCAGAGTAGGTGAGCTTATGTGTTTCACAGCAAGTTGGGGCACACTGAAGAATTTTAACACCCCCTGATTCAAGGTTGTCCCCCATTTTTCTTAATTGTGTGGAACTTCAACCTAGTATCAGAAACAGTAAACAGATACTAGTTCTCAAAAGAAAATAACTGGACTCCAGCAGTCTTGTATAAAGTGCACTTTTTCCCACTGAATAGCAAGAAGGTAGTGTTAGAAAAACTGATCTACTTTGCCCTAAAATAGCCTGTCTTAATGCTGTATTCATTTGAAGTATTATAGTTGTACTGTATAATTGAAACAGTTGCTTAAAGTAAAATTGTTTTATAATTTAAGGAGAAAGATTCAAGTGAACATATGTTAATATGCATGAGTGCTTTCAATGTTTTAAATAGTTTTCATAAATTCATTCCATCATTTAAGGTACTGATAACAGAACACGGTGATTTGGGAAATGGAAAGTTTTTGGATCCGAAAAACAGAATCTGTTTCAAATTTGATCACTTAAGAAAGGAAGCAACTGATCCGAGGCCCTACGAAGCAGAAAATGCGATTGAGTTATGGAGAGCTTCTGTAGAAACGGCGCTGCGAGCGTATGTAAAAGAGCATTACCCGAATGGGGTTTGCACTGTGAGTCAGTGACTTTTTCTTTTTGTTTGTTATGCAAATGTGGCCAAAATTCATAGCAACTCACAGAATATTTTATGACCCCTAAAATGTTGCTATTTTTTTCAAAACCTAGTTTGTGGGGCCGGGGTGATGGCTCAGTAGAATAAGTGTTTGCCCGGCCAGTGCAAGGGCCTGAGTTCAATCCCTGGTTCTGCAAAAAAAAAAAAAACCAAAACAAAAACTAGTTTGTTGTTATAGCCAAAATGGAAAACTGATTGATTAAATCAAAACAGAAATTCTAAGACAAAAATATAAAGGAGAAATGATATGATGAGGCTGGGGATATAGCTCAGCAGCATAAGCACCTGTTTGGCACACACAAGGTCCTGAGTTTAATCCCCAGTACTGCAGAAAACAAAATAAAATTATTTAGAAGTAGAATTACTTTCTCAAGTACTTTATAGTCACATTTCTTGTTTTTTCATCATTCTCTTGCAGGTTTAACTTATGTTTTATTTATTTAATTTTTTATTTGTTTTGGTTTTTTTAGTGGAACTGGGGATTGGACTTAGGCCTTTGCGCTTGCCAGGCAAGCACTTACTCTACTGAGCTATCTCCCCGGCCCCTTAACTTATGTTTTGTATGTGAAAAATGGTGGAGAGTAAGTGTGCTGTTTGTTTCTGAACATTGCTAAGATTGTATCCAGATAGGCTGTTCAGCATCCTGAGGCGTGCTTTGTGAGACCCCTTTGTAGCTGCGGTGATCTTCTCCAGTGTGTGCATCAGGAAAACCCTTGCGTGAGCTCTTTCAGGGGTTTTCTGTTGCACTTAGGGTAGAGCCAAGACTTGTGAACCTGGCTTCCAAAGCCAGAGCCGGCCTTCTGCTTACCCCTCCAACCTGAAGTGACCGTGGGTCAGCGTGTGCCTGCTGTCCCATCACAACACATGATTTCACCAGTAGCACCCAGTTCTCCCTCAGTAGCTTCCTATGAGGACGTCTTCTGAAGAATGATTATATAATGAAAGAAGGTACAAGAGAAAAAGAATAGAAAGGAAGAAAGGCTGTTATAAGTAAATGAGAATGGATGTGTTATGTAGGCATATCAGCCCCCATGGTGAATGTAATCATGTACTGATACCCTTTTTTCAATTTAAAAAATACAACAACACATCTAAAATAAACTTAGAAATTCTTTCAATTCAAACTTGTTAATTGGGAATATTTTATAGGACTGTCTCAGTCATGAGTAAGGGAGTAGCTAGGTCAGCCTGCACTTGTTCTTTGGTAGGAGTGAAAGGCCCAAATTAGAAGAGATCAAAGACAGTCGTAACATAAACATTCCTAATGAGCTTTCTCCATTTTGAGTACATTAACTTCTTAACCCTTAGTACCTTTTAAAAAAGACCGCAGAAATGGCAATTCCAAGTAATCACAAACTAGGTACACTTTTTACTTGAAGGGAAGCATTACATTGTACTTGTATATTTAAATAATTTTCTTACCTATGATCCTTGTGTTTGGAACGAAAGTATGATACATCTAGAATATGAATATTTTCTACTAATGTAAAGTGAATTTTACTCAGTAAGTTTTACTTTATCAGTTGTGAGATGCACGTAATTGAAAATGCTTTTCTAGTTACTGTATTAGAATGAGGCCCTGCTTCGTGTCATTTTACATAAAGTTCATTATGCTTTTAAGTATTTCATAGCTAATTAAAGTGGGGCATTCATGGCATTAAGTGCTCATTCTTGATTTTCCTTTTTTTTCACCAATAAGGTGTATGGTAAAAAAATAGATGGACAGCAAACCATTATTGCATGCATAGAAAGCCACCAGTTCCAAGCAAAAAATTTTTGGTAAGTCAAACAAACATTTATGGATTGAGAAATTTTGGCATTGTCTATATTGTTTGTAGTTCTTGGATTTGTCATTAGGGCTGAAACTTAGTTGTGTATGATTGAACAATATACATATGGTGTAGAACCTCAGCCTCTTAGAAAAAACAAGCTGTTTGTTCCATAATTACTTAGTCCCTAAGGGCAGCAGCAAATCTGCTGACACTCATTGAGGAGAATGGAGATGAGCATGGTGTTGAGGCCCGCCGGCAGACACCGGTGCGGGGCGTGTGCACACGGTCAGGGCGCAGGCCCGCGTGCTCCCCCTGAGCCGGGTGTTACTGCACGACACTTGTGTGAGGGCGCGAAAGGGCCATAATGGAAAACCACAACGCCTGTGAACTTGGGAGCTCTGACGGTGTTTTTACAGGAATGCAGTTTGACTGTTAATATGAGAGAGTAACATCATGTTTGTGCTTTTAATTTTTTTTTTTTTTTTTTTTTTTTTTTTTGGCAGAACTGGGTGTTGAACTCAGGCCTTGCGCTTGCCAGGAAAGCGCTTATTCCACTGAGTCACCTCCCAGCCCCTATGTGCTTTTAATTTTGCATACAAACTGTACTGTTACTCCTTCCAAAGGTGTAGCTCCCAAAAGTGCGGACTTGCCTTTTAATCTTTAGTGTTTGACATGTTGTTAGTAGTTTTTATTCTTAGACAAGATCATTTCTGGATACTACCTGTTACAAAATTCTGAGGTTCTCTTGGACTTCACGGGCTCAGAAGTGAATACTGATAAAGTGATACTGTCATTCAGTAGGTATTAAATTGCTCTGACTGTATTTATGAAAGGACTTGATAATCTAAACATTTGTTCAGTTTAACCTTAATTAAAGCTAAGTAATTCAGTTGAAGTAGCTCAACATTTTTCTCCAAGAAATATCTCAGTTTCTAGTTTATTTTAAACCTTAACGTTTAGAATTTTGATTTACATCCATTATCTAGGTCTTTCTTATGAGGAGGGTGAAGATTAAGTACAGAGGGTGCTTTTAAAATACAGTGAACGTGTTTTTAAAAATCATTACAGTGGAAGACCCACTGCCATGAGTGCCCCTCACCAGGAACCCCTCACCTTGAATGTACTTGCTTTATCGTTCTCTCCACTTTTTGAAATAATTCTGGAAATCTTTTTTGAGTATCTTTGCTAGGTGTGATAAAAATGCAATGAATATGACTACTTAGTATCATTGAATGAAAAGCAGAGTCATAAAAACGTTTTCGCTGTGTCCTCCTCTGTCTTATTCTCCAAATCTGACACTGTATAACTTTTGACTCTTTACCCAAAATCAAAATGGCCATGAAAGGCAAACATTTGGCACCAGTTCAAAACCGTAAGGCAGCCATGACAATGTAACGGAAGACATTCATAAGAGACCACCTCTAGAACGGCTTCAGGAAGTAGCAAAACAAGGATTAGGATATTCAAAGTAAGGGAACGTATTTTGAAGGGAATTAATGTCAGTGTGTTTCTACTGTAATAAATTTTTAAAATTTAAATGCATTGTTTCCTTGTGTCTTATACCTGTTTTTAACTTTTTGATCCTTTTGAATATTTCAGTGCTTGAAAAATAACTGTCCAGGATCTATTTCCCACACTTTGTCACACTGTTGCATTCACTTTAAATCTGAAGCGTAATATTGATTCCCATTATTTTCCCTACCTTATTTACAGCTGCTGTTTTTATTTTTAAGGAATGGTCGTTGGAGGTCAGAGTGGAAGTTTACAATCACACCTTCAACCACCCAGGTGGTTGGCATCTTGAAAATTCAGGTACAGAATTTTAAAAGAGTTTTGTTTACTGATTTCTAGATGATTCTGATCAAAAGAATAACAAGCTGAATAGATTTATATTTTCACAGTATACCATTCCATTTCTTTTCCAGATTTTTATTTTAGGATGATAGGAAAAAGAAGTTGTACTGTTATAAATTTTTAAAATAACATTATAGTTTGTTCTCTAGTCATCAAAAATCTGTGAGGATAGCTTACAGATTCAAAAGCACAGCTAAAATTAGATGTCACCATTTGGTCTGCATCTCGTACAGCTTGTTCATCTAGGCTTCTTCTGAGTTTGAGTTGTGCTCTGCTGTCATCTCAGTTGAGTGGCGTAGAATACATGTGTGTGGATGTATAGATGCATACATGTGTGTATTGCTACATGTCATACATTACATATGTTTTAAAAATATTGCCTGTGCTCATACTTGGAGTAGAATATATATGTGTGGATGTATAGATGCATACATGTGTGTTACTATATGTAGTAACATACTACATATGTTTTAAAAATCTCACCTGTATGCATATTTGGCTTTTTAGGTGAAACCCACTAGACATGCCAGCCAGCCCCGCCCCCTGGTGGGCTGAGCTGGCCACACACACACACACACACACACACACATAAAATTTAAAAAAAGGGGGGGCTGGTAAGATGGCTCAGTGGTCTAAAGCACCTACTTAGAACAAGCTTAGCAAAGCACAGGGACCGCAGTTCAATCCCCCAGCACCACATGCCAGCCAGCCCCGCCCCCTGGTGGGCTGAGCTGACCACACACATACACACATACACACACAAAATAAAATTTAAAAAACCCACTAGAATTGAGTTCTTTGACTCCTAATGTAAGCTCAGATGTTTATGTAGAGAACATTTGATAACTAAGTACTTACTTATTTGAGCATATATACTGCTAAATAAGTAAAAGGAAGGTACTGCTGATGAAATAGCTCAGTGGACTAAGCAGCTGCTTAGGCAAGCCCAGGGACTGGGGTTCGATTCCTGGTACTGCATGCCGCACCAGCCCTGTCTCTAGGCTAAGCTGGCTATCGAGTCTAGGTGTGGTGGTGCGCACCTGTAATCCCAGCACTGGGAAGGGTGAAAACAGGAGGATCACTATGAATCCGAGCTGCATAGTGAGAGAGACCCTGTACCAAATACATAAATTTGAAAAAAAAAAAAAAGGGGGAAGGTACTAACCTTTTTGTATTTTGGTTCACATTGATCAACATGTGTTCATCAACTGTCATGAAAGATATGCTAAGAATTGTAAAAGAATAAGTAAATATCTCATACTGCAGCTTTGTCATTTGACTTCTGTATACATTTCTAGTCTTGTTCTGCATTGGTTTATATCTTGGTCCCTGTCTCCTAGAAACTAAGGAATAGAAATCAAGAGCATGGAATATGAAGTCAGATTGTCAAGAGTTTGAATCCCAGATTAAGTGGTTACTGTTTGTGTGACATCAGAAAGTCATTTAATAAGTTTGTATCTTTTGCCATCCATTAAAAAGTAGCTAAGGTTGGGCTGGCCAGAGAGCTTAATGGACTAAAGCGCCTGCTTAGGCAGGCCCAGGGACCAAGATTGAATCCCCGGCGTGCGGCGTGCCATGCCGGCCCTACCCCCAGGGCATGCTGAGTCCGCAGCTGAGACTGGGCATGGTGGCGCGTGCCTGTAATCCCAGCATTTAGGAGGCTGAAAACAGGAGGATCACTACAAGTGCTGTCTGTAGCGAGACCCTGTACTAAATACGTTTTTTAAAAAAAGTAGTTAAAGCCTGGTGGGTAGCTTGTGCCTGTAATCCCAGCACTTGGGAGACTGGCACAGGATTTACCATGAGTTTGAAGCCAGCCTGAACTATGTAGATATACGCTGTGTTCTGACTCCTGTATGATTGTTTGAGGATTAATGAATATTGGATAAAATGGTTAGGATGGAACCTGACACAGTGCTCTGTGAGTAACTAATATTGCTCACATTCCTTTCTGGTATGTTCAATAACTCAGTAGCTCTTACCTGGATAATTATAGAGCTCTTCAAATGATATTGCTGGTTGTTTGGATCAGATTCATCTTCAACACTTACTGTAGTTGCCATCTGAAAGATTAATTTTTTTATAAATTTAAATCTGGGCGTGATACCTGCCTAAAGATGATTTAGTGGTACATTCCTGCCTACCAGGTACTCCAGGCATATTTGTATTTAGTACAGGGCCTACAGCTGACACTTCTGCTCCCTGTGTGTCTCTCCCCTTTCTATGTACATTCCAAGCACAAGTATCTTTAGTTCTTTGTGATACATGCTAAGGTTCATTTAAAACCCTCTGAGTCTGAAGTATTACTAGTGTGCTTTGCACAGTTCTTTGGAGGAGGTTAGGGACTGTCATTTTAAAAGCCATGTATTTCCACAAACTTACACGGTGGCAGCATCTATATTGTTAATGACTGTTGAATAAATTCACATCCGGGGCAATGAAATGTTTGGTGGAAATACACAAAAGAGAAGCAGCATTAGGAAATGACTTACTGTGGTGTTAATGTGGCCCTACTGAAGTGGCTGTGATGTAAAACTGTAGCAGTGAGGCCAGTGGAAGTCCGTCCTTTTCCTGGATCGCTGCACCAGCGTGCGGTCCCTTGGCGATACTGGGGTAGGAAGAGCCTTGCCGGAACCTACCGGGCCGGAGCTCAGTGGGGAGATGGGTGGAGCCGGCGTGCGTGCACTGGCGTGGCCACTGACTGTGCTGCGTCACTCCCTGACAGGTTCATTATTATGAAGACGGCAATGTTCAGCTCGTGAGTCATAAAGACATCCAGGATTCCCTCACAGTGTCTGTAAGTACTTTAACCATACTACAAATAACCGAATACTTCTCAGGCACAGCGACTTTGCGATGTACATTGTAAATGTTCTGCTTCAGTTTAGTGTTTTCAGATCGCTGAAAGATGCACTTCTGTACCTAACATTTTTAGCAGTTTTATTGAATTATTCAGATGCCATTCGAATCATTCTTTTAAAGTATCAAATTCATTGTTTTAAAATTATCAGAGTTGCGTAGCAATCGCTGCAGTCTGAATTTAGAACCCTTGCCTGTGTCTTTAAAGAAGTCGTACACCTATTCGTCACACAGCACCCGCCAGCTCCTGTCGGACCTCTCCTACCCGGGGCAGCCACTTACCCTGTTTCATGATTTGCCTGTTCTGGACATTGCATAGAAATACAATCATATGCAATAGGACTTTTGTGACTGGCCTCCTTTCACTTAGCGTTTGTCAGTATCTGCCCTTGTGCAGTCTGTGTTGATACATTCCTTGTCATTGTCAAGTAACTACTTCATTGTATGAATATATACATTTAGTCATAAGGTGGACATTTCTGTTGGTTTCTACTCTTTGCTGCTATAAGCACTTATATACTATTTTTTGTGTAAAAATAATTTTTGTTTGAGACATGTACATAGAAGATTGTGAGGAACTTCCAGATTACTTCTAGGATATCTGCACCATTTTATGATTTCAATTTGAGGGTGTACATGAGGGTTCCAGTTTTTCCACAGCCTGAATAAAACTCAGGGTTTTGTATTACAACCTTTTTAGTGAATGTGAAGTAGTATCTTGGTTTCTGTTAGTTTTCTGATGGCTGATGCTATTGAGCATCTTTTTAAGTGCTTATCTTTTAGGAAATGCCTGTTTAGTTCCTTTGCCCATTTGTAATTGTGAGTTTTAATTGTCCAATTCATTATTACTGAGGTGTAATTGTTATTTATTCTACACACAGTTCTAAAGTCAGATACGTGATTTACAGATATTGTCACTCCATGCTGTCTTTTTGCTTCCTTCATTGTATCATTTGTAAAACAAAATTAGTTTTAATGTAGTCTAATTTTTTTTTTTTTTTACAATGTGTGCTTTATTGTATTGATAGAATCATTGCCTGACCAGGATCATAAAGATTTACTTCAGTGATTTCTTCTACAAGTTTTTATAGTTTTAACTCTTACATTTAGGCTTATGATCTTACTCTTCACTTTTAGGCTGTTTTTTTTGCAGACCCAGGGATTACACTCAGGCCCTTGTGCTTGCCAGGGAAGCGCTTATTCTACTGAGCCATCTCCCCAGCCCCTGAAAAATTATTTTTAATTACAAAAAGTACTTAAAAAGTATGAAATGCTACATGAAAAGAGTCAAAAGAAGCATGTTTTTTGAAGTTTTTATTATCACTCTGGTGATTCCCCCTTTTGTGCCAGCTTTTACATTCCTTGCAGAATTTGCCCATGGAAGAAACTTAATGAATCTGGACTGTCGAAAGATGTCGTATTCCAGGGCTGGGGAGACGGCTCAGTGGAATAAGTGCTTCCCTGGCAAGCTCAAGGGCCAGAGGTCAATCCCAGGTTCCACAAAAAAACAGATGTTGTATTCCATATAGTTAGTTATCATACATATTTATCATGTAATATTGTTTGCATAACAAGGGTACATGATTCTTTCTTTGGGGAGGTGGACATTAAAGAAAGGTTCTTTGTACAAGCACCTTGTCCAGAAAATTAAAAACAGTGGAGTTATGAAAGTTGGCCGTAGTAGTTAAACTACACTGATGTACTGGCTAGGTCCAAGTACCAGGAGTAGCTCTTCACTTCGTTGTGTGAGATGTTCATTGTCACTGTTTTTAGAAAGACAAAAGCTACATTACATAAATTAATACACACACAAAGTATTAGAAATGTTCACTTTTAACACATTTTATTAAAAAGAAATGTAGATTTCCATCAATTTCATATTAGGGAAAATGAAAACAAAACCATATTCAACTAATTAAATTTTTTTGTGAAATATTTAAATAATAGAATAAATTTACCTTAAATATGAAAATAGATTCTTCATATCAGTAGTTTTCTTTGTATCATTGTGGTAAACACTCAGTAAACACGTAAAAGAGTAGAAACCTGTAACTTCCTACCTGTAAAACTTACCTTTTAGAATGAATATTAACTATTATAATTCAACTTTCTAACCAATGTATATTAATGAAATTTGACTTCACCTTAAATTAAATACTGATACCACACTCATTCTGTGGAAATTTATGTTTTTGTCTGGTTCTTTTTGGATTTAGAATAATTGATCTTGTACTTTTCCATTCACTTGTTATAATATTCATCTGTGTTATTAAATTACATTTCATTATCATGTATTTTTAAAAGAAATTGCAGCTTAGTTTTAAATTACTGTTTCATTTACTTTTGGTTCATTTAGAATGAAGTACAAACAGCAAAAGAATTTATAAAGATTGTAGAAGCTGCAGAAAATGAATACCAGGTATGATTTTTCAAGCATTGTTATAATCTGTTTCATTTTTGAGTGGCACTGAAGCTTTGCTTTCAGCCATAAGCATGCGTTTTTTATTGTTTCACTACCTAAGAAATGATCTTCTAGCAGTGTGTTTGCTGTTAGTACAAGAGCAAATTTGTGAAAATGTAGCCCAAAACAGTGCAGAATAAACTGCATTTAGTTACGGTTTTATGTTTTAGAAACACCAAGACTTGGCTTGAGCCAACTGAAATTTCTAATTATTAATGAAAATGTGCCAAGTTCTTCAATAGCTGTTGGTTTCTCATGGGAAATTTGAATTGAAGAGATGTTTCCTAAGCTCCTTGAATTGCGTGGGATTTGTGGGGGTCACGTTTCAGTTTGTGCTCTGCTGTTTACATTATCAGCATTTACTTTGTGGATCGGAAGAGTTTCCACCCCTTATAATTAGTAATTTACAGACTGTTCTGATTAAATAGTGAAATAGAGTCACAGTGAGGAGATAGACATTAAACCTAATTTACATTTCATTTCTTAAATTCAGTCATTCAAAAAGGGTTTATGGGGTCGGGGAGATAGCTCAGTGGAATAAGTGCTTGCCTACAAGCGCATGGTCCTGAGTTTGATCCCTGGTAGCACAAAAGAAAAAAAAAATGATTGTATGCTTTTTCTTGCAGCAGTTTTTAAACAGCTTTTAAAAGCATGTCGAGAATTTTGACTAAAAGGATTGAAATAAGCTCCGTAAATGTCCTAAAAATGTGTTTAAATTGTTTTATTACTTTCATTTGTTTTAAACTCTAACTACTGTTTTTCATAGACTGCCATCAGTGAGAATTATCAGACAATGTCCGACACTACTTTCAAAGCCTTAC